TTCTTTAACGTCACTAGCTTGACATATGAAGTGGATTATGCAGGCCAAGGGTTGTGGTTGGGGTTTGTGGCAGGGATGTGTAGGTCAATCACCTCAACTTCCTCCAAGGAGGCTGAGTTTTGCAGGAAGTACTTCAAGCGGTGTACATTTACCATAAAGCTCTTGCTAATGGAGTCACTTTTGATTTCCACTGCACTATGAGGGAATACCTTTGTGACTATGAATGGACCTATCCATCTTGATTTAAACTTTCCAGGCATGATCTTTAGGCGAGAGTTGAACAAGATGACCTTTTGACCAGTGCAGAATTCTTTCCTTGATATCATCTTGTCATGGTACTTCTTGGTCTTTTCTTTATAAATTCTTGAGTTCTTATAAGCCTCAAGACATAGTTCCTCTAACTCTTGCAGTTGTAACTTCCTTTGCTCTCTAGCTGAATTGTAGTACAAATTATAAGTTTTTATTGCCTAGTATGCCTTGTGTTTTACATCAACTGAAAAATGGCAAGCTTTTCCATAGACAACCCTATATAGGGACATGCCTAATGGTGTCTTAAATGTAGTCCTGTGTGCCCACAATGCATCATCTAGCCTTTGGCTCTAATTTTTTCTGTGGGGTTGCACTACACTCTCAAGTGTCTTCTTTATTTCTTTGTTAGAGAGCTTGACTTGTTCATTCGTCTATTGGTGGTAGGAAGTGGAAACTGTACGCAAAACTCCATATTTCCTTAACAGGATCTCCATTGTCCTATTGCAAAAGTGACTTCCCTAGTCACTAGTGATGGCTCTAGGGATTCCAAACCTATAAAACAAACAAAATCTGCAACAATCCTGACATCATTAGTCTTGGTGGCCTTAGCTTCCACCCATTTTAAAACATAATAAACAGCAAGCAATATATACGGAAAACCAAAACTATGTTTACATATAAATTATTGCATTGTTTCATTTCATTTAGGATTAGAAATAGGTGCAATTGAACCTACTTTTTACATCTCTAATTATTTAGGACATTATTCATCTCTTTAAGCTTCTATTGAATAAAAAAATGGATTTAATTGTTTATTTTTTATAGAATATTTATAAGATATTCATTGAATAATTCAAATTGAACAAATTGAATGTTCGACTCAAGCCTATATGACATGACCAAACAATAAAAATACTTTAACACTCCACCTTTGTCATATATTTCATACATCACACTAAATAGATATAATATTCATGGAATACGGTTCACTTTCAAGATGCCTTGGTGGTGAAATGGAAGACACTCGAGACTAAAAATCTCTTGCTAAAGAGCATGGAGGTTTGAGTCCTATTCAAGGCATAATATTGAGATCTCTTTTTGAATTGGAATAAGTTTAGCAGCAGATCATGAAATCTTGATGATCTTTTCTATCTAATGAATGAATAATTCATTTTGAAATTGTTCGTTATTCACTATTTACTTCAATGAACATTAATATTTTTTATTTTGACTAAAATCTATTATGTCTTTCATATTGACTTTTCGTAACTAATTTTCATTTTCCCTTGTTACTTGACTATTTGCTTAGTGAGTTTAGGCAGATTAATTCTATCACACCACTAAAAAATGTAGCAAGTGTTTTCTTTATAAGTATAAAATAGACAAGTTGGATTGCTTTTTGTTCAACTAACTTTTATTTCAACTAGTTTTCCACAACAACAATATCTTTCTTATTATTTCACTCTTTTTGACGTGTCACTAGTGCTGGACACAGAAGTCATTTTTCTATTTGTGACATTTCATCAAAAATGTGTTAGATAGTTTTCTAAACCTGTTTAGAAAATGAACTAGAAGGAGAACTCTATTTCAAAAATACTAAAATTGAAAAATTCTTTTATCACGAAATAATCTCACGTGGTTTATGATATTTTTTTAAAATTGTCAACTATCTTAAGTTTCTTGAAACTCACAAATTTAAGCCTCAAATTATATTAATTATAGAAATTTTCGCTTGAGCCTTAATGAATAATAATATGTCTCATCTAGTTAGTAATTTTGAAGTTTAAGTTGACACACACACGTGCCTTTCTTCATTCATGGTTTGATATTCTGGTGTCCTAGGCGTATAGGAACAGCACCAATCCATCCCGAACCACCAATGTAATGCCTTAAGTAAATTTCCAAGCAATAATTTCATAAAATAGGAGTAATAAAATTTTTATTTAAATAAAAAGATTTCACCATAGAGTTTCATAAAACAATTCAAAACAATAAAGGATTACAAATTTATATCAAAAACTGTTACATGACTAATTCAGTTACATTATAATTTCAAAATACAATCTAAGTCCTATAGTAGTTCATCCTTCCTTCACTGAGTCCGGTGCTAATCGTCTTGGTCACTTGAAAAATAAATATAAGGGTGAGTACTCTACACTATCCAACACATATAAACATAGAGACTCACCTCAAATACTACACATTTACTAACATATTTTAAATCATGTATCTCAATCACAATTATCATTCATCATCTATTCCAATTCAAAACACAACAGGTGCACTTACTGCACCGAGGAAACGAAAGACGAAGCATAAATCATGGATCAATTAAGCCCTCTTGGGGACTTGCTTAAGAATAAGAAAGAGGAATCTTATGTAAATACCATGGAATAAGGTTTGGTCCTTTTCATGGGGATTCTGTAAATATTCCATTCCAAAAAGAGAAAATTTGAAACAATTGGGATTTTTTTACATTTCACACACGTGCACTTACCGCAGTCACGTTCACTGTGACACTGTGATCACAGTTTCATACCATGAATGGTCGTCGGTTACCTTCGTCTTACGGATACTGCATGGGTAGTCACAGGTTGCTCAACAAAAGTAGTGATCAGAGGTCTAGTCAGGAGGAGAGTGTGTGGCCTGTTGTACACCCACACTCACTGTTGGTGTCACTACCACTCTCTCTTCCCTAAAGTATTTCTACCGTCCCTATCTTTCACACCTCTAGTATATCACTGAACCATTCATAGCATATCATACACGGCATACTTTGCCCACATTCATTCACATTACACGGCACAGAGGCCCACATTCATTTACACAACATATCAATAGGTCATCCATACCCATTTACATCATTCAATCATCATTCCTCAACATGCTCACACACATTCTCAATCAAGGGTATGTCAACCCCACAATCAATTCATATTTCACTTCAAACACACTAATTTTCATTAAATCACACATTTTCTACTCTCTATTTCAGCCACATCACAACATTCAATGAAATAAATGGTAAATTAAACATAATGAGATAGGGTAAAGTCTCCTCTTATCTCAAATAAAGACCCACATACCAAATCAACAAGGTAGGCACTCCCTCACACAACCTTTGACCTAAATACATGGAAGAACCCTATAAAAATCCAGGAAAATTGAGAAATCAAAGGATGGGGATGAAAAATCGAAACCCTAACCATTAAAACTCACCTCCAAGCATTTCCTACACAAATTCAACCTTTAATCTTGCTCCTAAGCGGCTTAAAGTCAATTCAATCGGTGAAATAGGGTTTGGGAGCGAGGGAATCGAAGAAATCTCGAAGGGAAAGTGAGAAATGAAACTTCCCTAAACCCTATCCCCTTTAAATCCCTTTCTGGTCGCGACACTCTTGTTACAGCGAGGCCCTAGCAAAGCAAAAATCTCAGAGGAAATTGCATTCTGGTTTCTGCAGAATCTCGCTACAGCGAGACTGCACCCAGAAATGCACCACAAACTGTCGCTTTGTCACTATAGCGAGAGTGTCCCAGTATTATACCTTTAACCTGTTTTCAGCCCAATCAATCCAATTTAATCATATACAAATATATTTATATGCGTCCATAAGCATTTATACACACCAGCATTCAAAGTTCATCACACGCTCAAGTGCAAACTCCAATATCCATTCATATCATACATATATGTGTTTATACATATTACAAATACACAACATGGAAAAGTCAATGCAAACACTTATATTAATAATCAAACTATATACAAAATTCATGGCGTTACAACCAACACATGTCCAACACATGTCTTTCTTCATTCATGGTTTGATATTCTAGTGTCTTAGGCGTAGAGGAACCACACTAATCTATCCTTAACTTGATGGTTAAACTCTACTATGGTGACAACAAACACCCCCTACCTTAAATAGGTTAATCTATCTTATATAATAGGTTTTTCGTAAGTTCAAGTATAGTATATTTAATTAATTAAGCCTTTAAAAAAGTTAAAATTTAACCTAGCACTTAAATAAGTTGAATTAAGATAAATTTTAAATAAGTTAAGTCATAAGTTCTCATCAAAAAGTCTAACCTAATTCTGAAAACTAATTTAGTCCTATCTAAATTGAACTTATCTTAGTAGAATTTCTTTACAGATCTCACTTGTAATTATATAACTTTATATTTATAAAATTACAATACTTATTTGATTTTTTATAACTTTAATTTTAAGGTTACACATCTTTATTTTTATTGTTATTATTATTATTTAAATACATTTATTATTATAACCTGTTTATAAATGTATTAGTTTTAGATTAATCTAAATATATTATTGTGTAGCTAATTTTTATAATAATTTTATGTTCTATTTCAAAAATAAGTTTTGATTAGATATAGCATAAAAATATAATAAAATAATTTATTTATCATCTTTTAATTAAATTAAGATTAAACTTATAAAAGTCAAATTATTTAATATAATTAAACTATTTTCATTGGATCAAATTAAATTAAATTTGAAATGTTACTCAAACTGATCCAAATCAAATCGAAATGTAATTTTATAATCATATTAGATGACTTTCTTTTTTAATCTAAAAATCAATCCAAAAATATTCCTAAACTTCACAAAGGAATTGAAACCCAATCAAGTACCTACACATCAAAGCAATTAGCACCCTATATTCTTCAGTTCAAATCATCAGTTAAGCGTAACTTCAATCCTGAGCACACAACAGGCACAAAAAAAAATACAAATCAATCAATATACATAGGGTTTTATCAACCCGCCTCAAGGTTGATTTTAAACTTCTGAAAATATTAAATTTTTATTGAAAAAATTTTTTTATTACACTTTTATATTCTGGATGTAATAAATACTTTCCTTTCCAATAAAAATTGTTATTTTTAGTTGTTTAAAATCATCCTAGAAGCTGAAGTTTAACATTTTCCTATTATATATACAAAAAGAGATAAGCAAATCTACAAGGCATAAAGTATCCTTTTTATCCTGTCTCCTGAATAAGGCAAAAGGTATAAACTAAATAGCTCATGAGAGCTTGAAGCACTAATATGAACAAATGAACATCTCATTCCAACTATCATCAAACTCAACGACAAAGCTGAGTACACAATTGCTGGATCTGGGAACTGGTTGGATTCTGCATGTAGTATGTACTAGATTTACCATTGCTCGAGCATGTTACGTTCAGCTGGTTGCCAAACTGGTTTGACTGCGTTTATGAAATTTCGACAACATTAATATCCAAACCAGAACAAAAAAGAAACAACACGCAACCACCACATTAATACCAACTATCAAGCATTAAGAACAAAAAGACATTTTAAATGGTTGTGTACAGTGTAGTGAAAACATTTGTCTAGGTGATTACCGCACCTATATAAGATTTTGGTTTTGGAAGCTGGTTTGATTGCGTTTATGGTATTTCTTGTTTTCAACAACATTAAAATTATCCAAACCAGAACAAAAAGAAACAACACACAATCACAACAACATTAATACCAGGCATTAAGAACAAAAGACATTTTTAAATGGTTCAGTGTAATGTGTACTGAAATCTTTTGTCTAGTTGATTACGAGTTACCAATCAAAAGGTTTAGGTTTGGAGATTACCAAAAATTTTAAGGTCGCTTTTAATGTTCTTCAAACTAGACGGTATAACATTACATGAAAAAGGGGTAAAAGATGTGTCACCGATTCATAAAATTGTGAGTGAAAAATAAGTAATTTCATGGAATCTGATAAAAATAATCAGATGAGGAAGCTTTCAGATAAAATGCTTACCTCACAATATGCTGGCTCTGTATGGCAGCTCCATCTTGAAGTTGGAACACAAGAAAGGTAATGGCACCAGGAGCAGTGATCATTTGCATCAACACCACGGAGAAGTGCAACTAGCCCAACAGAAAGCCTGTCACATTAGACAATTTAACATAGACAGAAGAGGTGGTCAAAATGAAAGATGAATAAGAGGATAAACTTGAACACAAATAAGATGACGGACTGGGCAGAAGTTGCGATGCACTCGTGCACAAAAGCAAATTTCATATACACATTTTACATAAATGGAGGATAGATCTATTTCTTTGCTTGGTGAAAAAGCAAAAGAGAAAATCCTCATATATATAAAACTACTTAAGCTCAGAAATCAAGTTTCTCTTGCAAACCACAACTATAAGATCATGCCTCCAGTTTGTAGAGATGATACAAAATGGATCAGAGAAAAGAATAGAAAGGAAACTTTGTTGATGAAAGGAAGGGACGAATGATATGTGCCCAGGGAATTTGAGAGTCCTCAAACTTGCTCCGGTCTTGATCGCCCTCAAGATTGCTTATTCTTTTGACAGCAAATTAACATCCAGCTTCAACGCAATCAAGTTTCCTAAGATCCCTTCAGGGTTCTTGCAGGACCAACTGAGTAACTTGATCATCTCATTCTCTATTCAATTTCTCCAGCACACACCCTCTCCAGCCTTGCGCCCATCTTCTTGGGTTGTTCTCTGGTTGACACCATGAAAAGCTCCCTGAATCGGGAGCTCTAATACTCGTTTGACACAAATTGGACCACAGAAAAGAATAGAAAGGAAACTTTGTTTATGAAAGGAAGGATTAAGGATATTTTCCCAAGGTATTCGAGTCCTACTGATCTCTCCGCACACAATGATTTGACTAATTTACTACTCTCACTCCCACATACTCCTTTCTTGTTATACATTTTATGCCAAATAACAGAATGTTCTGTTATACGGTGAAACGACCTCAGGGGTCAGATCCCTTACTGCCCCTCTATTATGTCTAAGTATATACCCTTTTAATGGAGTGTTTCCTAACTAGAGACTAGAGGGTTCCACCAACACCTATGCATATGGAATAATCTGCTTGTAACTCTTATAATAATTGGTGATATTGAGGCCAGTAAAACACTTCGGTAGTTCTTCCAGTAGCATTGAATCACAACATTATTTTCACGTGTAAATTTAGCATCACCTACACTGATTTTTTTAATGGGTACAAAACTATCCATATATTTACTTAACCAACACCTGTACTCTTACTCCCTATTAAACAACACAAAATTGAACCACCATTCTTCCACAGGGTTTATTCCATTATTTACATGAAAATATAATAGATGAATAGTGGTTGATAAAAAAAAATACTAACATTATATTTGGACTATTCTATCTCATTAATTTAGTGTATAAAAAGGTTAAATAATTTGCCAGTCTCTACAGACTATTTGGGAAATTTTAAATTAATCCTTAATTCCTTATACCTTAAAAGTTTATAACTAGGTTCCTGAAGTTATAAATTATTTTCATTTGACTCTTGGCTAGTTTAATTATTTTAAAGGTGCTTGAACTATTTGAAAATTTTCAAGTTGACAGAACCCTAAGGGTGTAGTTGCAAACTTTTAAAGTATAAAAAGATCAATTTAAAAATACCAAAATAGTTGAGGGACATACAGATTCATTTAACCTAAAAAAGAAGTAAATAAATCCAATCAATAATAATGAGTGGGTACAAAAGAGACTAGCACGAGAACATAAAGAAAGAACAATCTATCAATTTATTATCCCCGTTAGAAGCTATTTTGCAGAACTCTTATGTAGTCTTGTCACTAAAAACTTATGATCAAGTATTTGTTGCTATACAATAAGTCTAAATTTCCAAATAACACATTTCCTTAGTGTTAGTGCTACTTGCAATAAAATTTGAGTTCTCTCCACCAATAGCAGTTAGTATATTAAAACCTTCATATAAGTACTATAATTTACTTAAAGAATCTTTCTTTTTGTGAAAAAATATGAAGCATATTTTTCTTATTTGGGAAAAATACAAAAGAGGTATAAATAGAATACAAGGAAATAAAACTGTACATTTAATCTATCCCTGAAAATCCGGGAAATAATTCTCCCTATAAATGTTGTACCTAAATAAAGAAATAAATTAATCTTATTCTAAATCCTATTATGGGCTGTACAAAAACTACAAATCAGAACTGGATGACTCTGATTGATATGCACTGATCTCCAACAGATTCTGATTAATATGCACTGATCTCCAACACTCCCCCTCAATCTGGGAGGTAGATGTCTATCATATTCAGATTGGATCTAATGTTTTCATGTGTTTCTTGGGAGAGCCTTTGTCAGGATGTCTGTTGTTTGTCTGCATGATGGAACATGGTCAACTCTTATAATGCCATAGTCAATTTTTTCTTTAATGAAGTGTTGGTCAATCTCCACATGCTTTGTCCTATCATGGTAGACTGGATTCTTTGCAATGCTTATAGCAACTTTGTTGTCACATAATATCTTCATAGTGTAATTGATAGGAATTTTGATTTCATCCAGCAACCTCTTAAGCCAAATTTCTTCACAGATACCTTGAGCCATAGCTCTAAATTCAGCTTCTGCACTACTCCTTGCCACCACAGGCTGCTTCTTGCTTCTCCAAGTCACCAAGTTTCTCCACACAAAGGAGCAGTAGCCTGTAGTTGATTTCCTATCAGAGGGGCATCCTGCCCAATCCGAGTCAGTATAGACTTCAATGCCTCTATCTGAGTTCTTGAAGTAGAGCCCTCGACCTGGTGTACCTTTGAGGTATTGTAGTATTTTGTTCGCCGCTTTCATGTGGGCCTCAGTTGGACTAGATGTATAGCAACTAGCCAAGCTCACAGCAAACCCAATGTCAGGCCTAGTGTGAGTTAAGTAGATTAGTTTCCTAACTAGGCTTTGATATCTATCTTTATCAGCTGGTGGACTTTCTTCTTCACCTCTCTTTTCCGGTTCTATAGGAGTATTGGCTGCCTTGCACCCAAGCATGCCGGTTTCTTGAAGTCCAATGTGTATTTCCTTTGTGAAACATAAATACCATTCTTTGTTCGAGTAACTTCCATCCCCAGAAAATATTTGAGCTATCCTAAGTCCTTGACTTCAAATTCCTTGGCCAAAAGTCCCTTCAAATGCTGGATTTGATCATAATCATTTCCTGTGATAACAATATCATCAACATAAACAATGAACAAGGCTACCTTCCCTTCCACGGAGTGTTTGACAAACATAGTGTAATCTGTTTGGCATTGGTTGAACCTGTCTTCCTTGACAACTTTTCGAAGCCTGCACACCATGCTTGAGGTTATGGAAGATTTAAGTCCTAGGGGAATTTGCATATAGACTTCTTGTAGTTCACCGTTTAGGAAGGCATTCTTGATGTTTAGTTGATAGAGTGGCCAATCTAAATTTGCAGCTAAAGAGAGTATAACTCGGATTGAATAGAGTTTGGCCACCGATGCAAAAGTCTCCTCGTAGTCCACTCCATATGATTGGGTAAAACCTTTTGCCACCAGTCTGGCTTTGTACCATTTTATACTACCATCGGCATTGTATTTGATGGAGAATATCCACTTGCATCCAATCGATTTCTTCCCTTCCAGTAGCGTGGCGATTTCCCATGTGCCATTTTTAACCAAGGCCTGAACTTCTTCTGTTACAGCTGCTGCCCATTCAGGTTGTTGGAGTGCCTCTTGAACATTCCTTGGGATATGTGTGCTGTCAAGAGCTGCCACAAAAGACCTATACCCTTGTGACAATTTTTCATAGGACACATATTTCTCAATAGGGTGTTGAGTGCAAGATCTCACCCTTTTTCTTAAGGCAATAGGAATGTCAATGTCATGTTCAGGATTAGAGACGATATTACCTAAGGAAAACTCATTTTCTAGAGCCTGGTAGGATTCATGGCTTTACCTTGGAGCTGTGCTGATTGTTTGTTGGAGATTTTTCTGTAGTGCTTCCATTTGCTCCTTACTGAATGGAGATGAGTTAGAATTTACCTCAGCTGTGTTACCTCTGCTATCCAGGTTTTTGGTCTGTGTCGCCTTTGAAGGCCTATCATGAATGATCCAGCAAGTGTCCTTCGTGTGACCTAGTTTCTTACAGTGATCACACCAAGGCCGATTTTTCTTTTGAAATGGACGAGGCTGGTTCCCCTTTGCTGCCATTGTTGAGCCTTCAATGGGTGGGGCTACACTTGACTTTCCAAGCATTACTTTCCTCCTGCTCTCCTCCCTTTTCACTTCCGAAAATACTTCCCAGATTATTTTAAGAGGTTTGGTTCCAAGGATTCTTCCCTGGACTTCATCAAGTTCTGTGTTCAGCCCCAATAGAAACTTGTAGATCCTATCTTTCTCCACCAATTCTTTATATTTCTTCTGATCCTCGGTACAACTCCATTGAATGTCTTCATATATGTCCAGTTGTTGCCAATGTCGACTAAGTGTATTAAAATACTCAGTGACTAAGAAATCACCTTGTTGCAAGTCATGGAGTAAGCTCTTGATTTCAAATATTGCAGAAGTATCGTCCACATTTGAGTAGATTTTCTTCACTGCATCCCACATCTCCTTGGCAGTGTCATAATACATGAAATTTTTCCCAATTTTATTAGTCATGGTATTAAGCAACCATGATATGACTAAACTGTTTTCCATTTACCATTTATTGTGGCTGGGGTCATCCTTTTTTGGACTCTCGAAGTCTCCTGTGATGTAACTTTTCTCCTTTTCCCTGAAGAAAGATCTTAACAGATCGCACCCATTGAGGGTAGTTCTGGCCATTCAACTTGTGACCAGTGATAGGAAGAGTAGGTCCTTCGACTAAACTGGGGGCCGAACCTTCTGCCTTGTTCTCTCCCATGGTTGGCTGCGCTAGGTTAGGGATGGTTCAGATCGTACTCTGATACCATGCGGAAAAATATGAAGTATATTTTTCTTATTTGCGAAAAATACAAAAGAGGTATAAATAGAATACAAAAGATCAAAACTGTACATTTAATCTATCCCTAAAAATTAGGGAAATAATTCTCCCTATAAATGTTGTACCTAAATAAGGAAATAAATTGATCTTATATTAAATCCTATTATGGCCTGTACAAATCAGGATTGGATGATTCTGATTGATATGTGTTGATGTCCAACAGATTTTAATTGATATGCGCAGATCTCCAACACTTTTCATACCAGTCTTCTCCTTATTCTTAATTCTTATTAATCAATCTCTGCTAGGAATCATATGAATATTCATCTTATTAATAGTATAAAAACCAAATACTTTTTAAGAAAATTGTCAATTTGTAAAAAGAAGATTTTGATGGGTGGGTTTGATATGTTTTTAGATTCTGCCTAAATCAAATAACTTGGTTTCTCACATTATATGTATTTATTTTTCAGTGTAGTCGAAAATAAATCTAAAACCCTTACTACTTGAGGTAAACCTAAACAGCATCTACCCAACTACCACTGAAAAGTCAAGACTCAAGACCTCATGCTATATGTCAATAGGGACAAGTATGTTCAAGACATCATCATACATTAGTTAGAGCAATTTGATCTCAGAGAGTTACACTTCAAAAAATGCTTACCCAACAACTAGAATGATCAAGGACAGGACCCACAAGAAGCATTGATATTTCTTGAACATAGGCTTAGCTCGTGCTGGAGAATAATTTAGGGGAGCATATCGTTGGTTAACCCATCCAAACTGAGGACGTATCAAAAACACAAATCCAAGAAGAAATCCAGTAAGAAAGCCTCCAATATGAGCAAAATTGTCCACGTGTGGGAGAATCCCCACCGCTAGATTGATAACAATGATGATCACAAGGGTGAGGAGTGCTGCTAGCTACACATGAAAAAGAAAATCTTGATTGTTAGTAGTTTGCTTTTAGAGCATGATCTTTTCTTCTGAGGCACGTGTAGTTCCAAATGAGAAATTTAACAGGTACCTTGTTATCATAGATAGTCCAGTTAGTAATGAGTTCTGAAAGCATGCCTCCCAGCAAGCCAAAAAGTGCACCAGAGGCACCAACAGAAATATTTGTCTGAATGAAAAGAGCAGAAAGCAAACTACCCCCAAATCCAGATATGACAAATAGCAGTCCAACAAGCACTGTAGTACAACTATGTGTGAATTAGTGTAGAAATTAGAGCTAACAAACATTAAAATGACATAAGAAAATCATACCTCTGAGAGTCAGAAGAGAAACAAAAAGGAGTCATTTTTGGTGTCATTTTTATATATTTACCAGATAAATAAACATTACAGCTCACATTATTCCTCAAATTCGACGATGTTAATTTAAAAGTTGTGTTTCAATCTATACTCTATAGGCACCATATGTTAACCTTTCACCAACTATAAGTTACAAGAAGTCTTATATGCTACCCTTCGGCTGTGTTCGTTGGCACATTTTCAGAATAAAGTACTGATTTCTTAGTAGTTTTATCTATCTACCTTTCTACTCAACCATAGTGAGAAAGCGCACAAATTTGAGTAATTAAGAATAACAGAAGAATACTTAGCAGAAAAGCCAAAAACTTTTACTTCCATCTCTAGCATTTGTTATTTAGAACAAGCTTTATATATGTATTTGGTCATTGTACATATACTAAAACCTTGGTTTTAGTCCCTTCAAAATATCGGTTTTGGCCTGAAGTGTCCCTTATTTTTCAAAAGCAAGCTTTTTTGGCTTGTCGTTATTAGCACTTAATGGATCTATGGTAGAGATCGTAAGTGCTCACTTTTAGAAACTAAGGACAAAGAGAGAAGCTAAATTTTTAGAGACCAAGGTCCTTTTTTGATAAACTTAATATATCTACTTGTAGAAGAAGAAAATAAAGAGATAAAATAAATAAAACTTCTTTCGTAAATTAAAATTAACTTATACACCTTAACTTTTTAGAAAAGTTAAATAAATGAAGGTACTTCTAAAAACTAACTTAGAAGAGCATAAGTTAGATTTTAACTTATGGACAAAATTTCATTTTATTTCCTTATGCTTGTGTTCTATAAGTACTTACCGAGAGACTTGTCCAAACTGAGCATTTGTCTAAAACCAAAATCCCATATATGTCCAAGAACCAAACACTTATTTAATCCTATTAAAAGATAGAGTTACTCGTGGACTTCACCCCTAGAGAAAATGATAATTGGAAGTTACATAGGAAAAAAGGAACAAGCCTTAATCATGAATATTCACACATACCAAATCCAAACTCTTGCTCAAGTCGAATTCCAATGACTAGAATACCCAACATATTTGCCAACAGATGGAAAACCCCAGCATGTAGCCACATACAAGTGATGAGGCGCCATCCCTGGTGTCTGTGAACCACTCTGCTTACATCAAGAGCACCCATCTTCTGTAGCCTGAGCAAATCAAACAAACCCCACTTATTCAACCCAGTATAAATCAAATTCATAATATAAATTACCCATCAGATAATTAAAAGTTAAAACCTCTCAGATCATAATTCTCCATAAATTTCAGTGCCAAGTACCATACAAATACCATTACCACCGTCACAACAACAATAATAAATTTATTATAATAACAATTTTTATTAAAAAATTATAATTATATAATAGTATAATTATCCGCAATTTATCATCAACTAATAATACTAATAACTATATATTTAGATTTTTTAAAAAATTAATCATTTATTTTTTAACAATATCTAATAATAATAATAATAATAATAACAAAAGTGTGGTAAATTTTGTTTTTAAAATAATTATTTGTTTTTAAATATTGTAAATAAACTGATTAGTAAATAATTATTTTATAAAAAATAATTTAATCAATTATTATTATTATTGACATTATTGACAAGAAGTTTGAGAAAAACACTCACGTCAATGATGAAGGGCCCAGGAGGGGGTTTTCTTTGAAGGGCTGAAAGGAGAAACTACCCAAGAAGGAGGCAATGCAGGAGACAGAGTTCTTGGGGCAGTTATTGACATACATAGTGATAACGAAAACGACGACGTTGGCAACGACAAAAAGCGGTATCAACCAGGGGAACCACTTCCTGTAATGCTTCACCGGCTGAGCCGGTGATGCAGAGGGTGCGGTCTCCACCGCCATCGGGTGTACCAGGTTGTTGCTCCTCTTCGAGTTGACCCTCATGTGGATCTCTAATAGGCGTGGCTCTCCAGCCATGAGAAATCAAAGAGAGCAATGCAGAGAAAGAGAATGATTCTGCAGTGGTTTTCAACGGTGGATTTGATCAAGGTTTGAGAATGGAATGGGTCTTGTGGACTTTGAAGAGTGGATTCAGTCAGAAGAAGATGATGGAGTCCAGGGATTATAGAGGTTTAGCTGATTAGCTCAACAACTTTGCGTGGACCTTTGGGACATTATTCATTGTTTATACTTTTGTAATTTTACTTTCTTTTTCTGTAATTTTTATTTTTTATTACATTTCTTTTTTAATCTCTCTTTCACCGTTTATTTAACAACATTAAAGACATATTTCCGTGTATTTCTTTATCTAACCATTCGTTTTCTCATATTTTAAATTTTACACTCGCTTTATTACCTCTTTATTTTAGCTGCGTGGCAATATTTTTAATTTAAGGTAAATAATTTTAAATATAAATAAAAATTATAATTCTCAATAATTTAGAAAATATGAATAATTTTTATTAAGAATAAATACTTACTTATATTAAATAAAAAATTTAAAGTATAAAAATATAAAAATACAAAAAATAACCAATAAAATTATTTGGTATGATTATGAAAAAAAAGAGAATACCCTTTGAATTATAAATTTATCATGAATTTTTTAAATTAATTCTAAATAGATTTAATTAGTAGACAAAAATACTATTTTTTTTATCAAATGAAAATATTTTAAAAAAATAGAATAGAAGTTTTAAAAATTACAACAACTAGATATATGAATCGTTTAAAATTAAAAAAAATTATATTTAATTATTTTCAATCTCTGTTTACTTGTATTATCCTATCAAAAAGATTTTTGGATGCAAAATGTCTTGTTTCGAGTGTAATATTAGTAGTATGTATAGTTTAATTAGAAAAGGATTTCTAGGGGAAGTTAAGGTTGTTGTTTTTGGTACATGTAATTTTAAATTTCTTAATTTGGGTGGTATGTATATGTTGTTTTTCAAATCTTAATGAGAATTTTTACAAGATCATGTGTTGAATTTTATGAAGAAAATCCTTTTGATCCTATAAAAAATTAGAAATGTTAATCAAATAATTTTAATTTTAATTCTTAAAATTATCTCCTTTAAAATTATTAGTCAGTTTAGACCTATTTTGTTATGTAATTATTTTTTAGATAAAATGAATTTTAAATTAAAAGATAAAATCACTTTCTCTTATTGAAAGAATTACTCTTGTTCAAATTTCTAACATGAGCATTCCAAATTATATCATGAAATTTCATTTGATTCCAATGAGTATTTATAATTAAATAAAAAATTATACAAAAACTTTATATAGGGTTCATATGCAACTCAAAGAATGTCACTTGAGATAAAATTTGTTCATCCAAATCAAAAGAGAGGCTAGTTTTCATATATTTGCATAAGGTAAATATAACATATATGGTTAAATTAGGTTAAAAATTATTAAATAACTCAAATTCTTTATAGGTTCAAATTTTGAAAAAACAAAGTATAAATTTTTTTTGGAAAAGATTACTAGATTTTTTATATTCTTAATCTTGAACAATTATTAATTTTGTTATTTCTCTAGAATTGGTTAGTCTTCTTGTTGGATTTTATGTGTCCAATGATAATTAGGATTAAAGAAAGATTAAACTTTATATTTCTCTAAAAATTTGTGATATAATCTCTAACATTATTCCTCCTACTTTGATTGCAAGTGTAGATTATACTAGTTGATCCTTTGTTTCTAATGGACAGTTGTTGATGAATGAGAAAAGAATAAAAAAAAAGGATTTTTAGTTATTGATTTTGATCTTGTGTGTGATTCTTCTTTCTAGTAAATCTATTATGCATGTTTTTAGATATTATTTTTCTGAATTCTAGAATTTAGTTATTAAAAATAATAATTGGAGTTCTATTTTTAGTCTTGGATGAGTAATTGGTGATGTTAAATATAAAGAAGAAGAATTTTAATGGAATAAATGGTTGAAATATTTTATTTGGAATCTTTAGTTAGATGTTGTAAAATAATAGAAATAATTTATTTTTAATAATAAAGTTGTTGGTGTTATAATTTTGTCTCCATATTTGGAGGTATATAAATTATCTTAATACTAATTTTTTGTTGTTGTTAACTTTGTTCACAAATTCATAAAAAAAAATAAAATTCATTAGATGAAATATTCTTTTTTAAAATAGACTTAACTCAACATGGATGGTTCTACCATTTTATCTTTACAATGGCCAAATTTGTGATGGTTTAATTAGAAACTCTTAAGTCACTTTCTATTGGGCTTTGCTTGCAAACTTCGTCCCTTGTTCAACAATTCATGTAGAACTTTGGAGGTATCTTGTTAAATCTTTGACAAGCGAAGTGTTTGAAATATGAAAATATCATTGTGGAGATTGATTCAAAGTTAGTCATCTATTTAGTTTAAACTGATTTGAATAATTGTCACCAAATTTTTCTTTTAGTTGGGAAATGAGAGAGTTTATTCAATCTTATAAAATCATTTGTATTTATTATGTTTAATTTTTTATATATTATATTATGTTATTATTTAAAAAAATGAAATTAAGGGGGCATTTGGTGTTTAGAATCTTTTGTAGTTCCTAGTAACTATATTCTCTGAGAATCATATTGCCTAAGAATTATATTTCTTGGTAATGTTAACTATAACACCCTTATTTTTATTATTGCTGTATTTTATTACAATTTATTTTTTAAAATAGAAAAATTTAAAATTTTGAAAACTACAAGAGATTTCACTTAAGTAAAACTAGTTATTCTAGACCACGCATTGCAGGACATTCTCGTTCAAGCGAGAATTGTAACACCTTAATTTAATTTTCAAATAAATTAATTTTATAGTAAATGGGAATAATAAAATTTTCATTCAAATAGTTCCCATTACATAGTTTCATTAAAGCATTTCAAAATAAGGATGGATTACAAGTTTGAATCAAATCATTGCTACAGGACTTAATTAATACATTAAAATTTTAATAGAATAATTTTCTAGGTCCTAAAGCAGTTTCATCCATCCCTTTCAGTGAGTCTGGTGCTGATCGTTTTGGTCACATAAAAAATAAATGTAAAGGTGAGTCCTCTACACTATCACACATCCACAAACATAGAAACTCACCTTGCATGTCCCAAACATTTCATAATATAATTTAATTCATTCATTGAACAACCTTAAGTCAATTTATTACAACAACACGCACATAAAATCACCTCAATTCATACACAAGTGCGCTCATTGTACTTTCGGTCATTTCACACACATGTGCCTTCACTGCACATTAGTCACGCTCATTGTGTCACCGTGATCACAGTTTTACTGATAACCTTAACCTCATGGATTTACTCAGTTTCACACCATGAACGGTCGCCGGTTAGTCCCTACCTCACAAATACAACGTATGTAGTCACGGTTCCTTAGTAAAGGTGTTAGTCAGAGGCTGAGTTAGGAGGAAAGTGTGTGGACTGTGGTGCATCCATGCTCACTATTAGTGTCACCACCACCTTCTCTTCCCTAAGGTATTTCTATCGTCGTCATCTTTCACATCCCTAGTGTATCTATAACGCCCCAAATTTTGTAGCTATATATATATATTGTTTTTATTAATATAGGTATTTGGATTAATATATGTTCATGTGTTTGATTTATATGATGATGATGTACGTGATGATGAGAATATAAGTATATATATGTGTGTGATGATGTGGATGTATATGAATATGGGTATATGAGCATGAGTGTAAATGTTGATCTTGTATTGAAAATGTTTGACTTGTGATTGGTTAGGATTGATTGAGGAAAATAGACTAAGTATGAACTACAGAGACATTCTCGTTATAGCGAGGGGAATTCTCGCTATAATGAGAGTGTATTGAGCGAAGGCGGTGCGTCTGTTGCGTTCTTGCTGCAACGAGATGGCAACAAAGAGGGGGTATTTTCTGGGTACAGTCTCGCTGTAGCGAGATTTTGCAGAAACCAGAGTGCAATTCCCTCTGATATTTTTGTCGTAGCGAGGAGTGTCGCTACAGGGAGAGGACCTCGCTGCAGCGAGAGATGTTTCATTGTAGCAAGAATGTCGTGACCAGAGGAGTATTTAAGGGATTTATGGTTTGGGAAATTCATTTTCCACTTTTCCCTTCAAGATCTCTCTATGTTCCTTGATTTCTAACCCATTTTTACCAATTAAATTGCCTCTAAAGCTGTTGGGAAGCTAGATTGACAGTTGAAATCAAGTTTGGGGTGGTTGGAGGTAAGTTTATGAGTTAGGATTTTTGAGTTTTCATCCTCTTTCTTTAATATCTTGGTTTCTCATAGGGTTTTCCCTATATTTAGGATGAAAGTTCGTGTGGGGAGCACATTCTTTGTTAATTGGTGTTGTGGGTCTTGGATTTGAGATAAGGGAGGACTCTACCCTATCTCTTTATGCCTAGAATTCGTTTATGTGATTCTGTTTGTAAATATGAATGATTGGTTGTAGTGAGATTATGGTGGAAAGGTTGTGTAGAATATAGTGTGTTGGATGTTGACTATTGTGTGTGATGAAATGAATTTTGAGCATAGTGTGGGTAATGTAGTAATTTAATTGTGATGAGGATTTGATGTTTAAGTGTAATGTGATTGGATGTGGGCATACGTGTCATGTGTGAAATTGAATATCATGATGTGATTGAATGTGTGGTTGAATGCTTAGACATGCTATTGATGATGTTGAATAACATGAACGGTTGAAAATATGTGTGAATGGCATGTTAGGTGTGATTGTGATGAGGTTTGGAATGTTGAAAAATTATGAATGGTTCAGCAATACACTGAGAGTGTAGAAGATGAGGGCAGTAGAAATACCTTGGGGGAAGAGAGGGTGGTGGTGACACCAACAATGAGCGTGGGTGCACCACAAGCTACACACTCTCCTGACTCGGCCTCTAACTAACACCTTTGCCTTGAGGGCTCAGTGAGTGTAGCTACATGCAGTGAGCGCATGTGTGTGTGGATTGTTTCTTGATGCAATGAGCGCACATATTTGTGAATTAAAATGGAAAAGTATTGTTTGTGTTTGTTGATGCTTGATTTGAGTTATGTTAGAAAACATGTGTGAAACATGCAAGGTGAGTCTTTGTGCTTGTGTGTGTATTTGATAGTGTAGAGTACTCACCCTTACGTTTATTTTTCAGATGACCAAGATGATCAGCACCAGACTTAGTGAATGGGAGGGATGAAACTATTATAGGACTTAGGAAATTGATTTTTGAAATTTGATTTCGTTTGTGAAATGATTTATTGAACTATGTATTGGGAACCATTTGAATGAAAATTTTTATTATTCCCATTTTTGTGAAATTTATTTATTTTGAAAATTAAACTAAGGTGTTACAATTTTGGTATCAGAGCAGTTCATTCAAACCGGACTAGGGTATCAGGCTGAATCGTCCAAGCCGTGTGTTGATATGTTTTGATTACCTAAATTTTTAAATGTTAATTTTTTATCTGATGAGTTAAAGTATGGTTGTTGAATTTTTTGCTAGCTTAGATTAGAATAGCCGGTAGAGGTAGAGGAGCTGGAGTCACCAATGACTTCCTAGAGCGAATGACCTAAGTTTTAGAGGCCTTAATGCATAACCAATATGCGGAGCTGACTGAGTACTGAGGGTTGTCTGCCTTTATTAGGCATAACCCTCCTAAGTTTAAGGGCAAGTTCGACCCTGAGGAAGCCCAGAGGTGGTTGGCTGATGTGGAGAAGATATTCCATCCCATGGGGTGTAGGGAAGAGCACAAGGTGAACTATGCCACCTACATGCTGTGTGGGGAGGCAGAAGACTGGTGGAGGTTTGCCAGTCAGATGTTGCCACAAGAGGGTGACTATATTCAGTGGGAAGCATTTAAGGCGAGCTTTCTGAGGAATTACTTTCATCGAGACTTGAAGAAGCAGAAGGCTTGGGAGTTCCTTGAGCTGAAGCAAGGGAGTGTGACAGGGGAAGTATGCAGCAAAGTTCCGAGAATTGATAAAGTACTAGCCTCACTATCAGCATGAAGATGGAAAGGAAGATATGTGTACTCAGTTTGAGCATGGGCTGAGGCTAGAGATTTGTGCTGCTATCAACGTGTTTCAGCTGACTAACTTGCCTACCTTGGTGAGCAAGTGTCGAATCTTCGAAGCCAATTCTAAAGACAAGACTGTGGACACCAGGGGGAATGGTCCAATGAGGCAAGACAGAAGACCCCATAGATTCTCTAAGGGGTCGTATTCGAGCTCCAGCCACTTACAGTCCAAAGGGACTTCATCTCAGGAAAGGAGCAGTGAGAGTGGCTCAGGACCAGACTCTTTCAAAGGGTCGATTAAGTACTTTAAGTGTGGAGGGCCACACATGCTGAGAGATTACCCACAGCCACAAACCAACTGTGGCAACTGCGAGAAGCTAGGGCACACTGCTAATATGTGCTGGGCTGCTAAGAGAAGCGGTAGTGCAAGCACAACCCAGAGGCCTGAATCAAGAGGGAGCACGAGGCCAAGTACAGGGCCAAAGCCAAGTATTCCTGGGAAAGTCTTTGTCACGAGTGGGGCAGAAGCTTCACAATATGAGGAACTTATCAGAGTTTAATGCATTATTAAGGGCAGATTATTGGATGTGTTATTTGACTCAAGTGCTTTGCACTACTCTATTTTTGTGGAATGTGTGAAGAGTTTGGGTTTGTCTGTGATTGAATTGTCATGTAATGTTGTGGTGACTAACCCTACTAGTAAATCGATTGTGACATGATAAATCCATATTTTACCAATATTTTTCTTTAGTTTTAATGCATTTGAAAAAGAAAATATGTATGAGATTTTGTAGCAAAAAGATGATTCAAGTGTGATTGTCATAATGAATAATTGGTGAATAACTTAATAAGAAAATAATCAGAATGGATTGAAGTGGAATGAATTTTGAAAATCTAAATTTTTCTGATATGTAAAAAGTTTTTTCAATATGGATTTCAATTGATGAATGAATTCATACGCTTGATATGTTTTGATTTGCTTGAGGACAAGCAAAAATTTAAGTTTGTGGTGGTGATAAATCTATTTTTTACTAGTATTGTACTTTAGTTTTAATGCATTTGATAAAGAAAATATGTTGGAAAAAGATGGAAAACTCATAAAAATAATAGAAAGTTCAAAGTCTTTCCTAAATACATAGTTGTTTATATTTTATGAATTTTTTTTGTAAAAAGTAATGATTTAATCATATTTTTGTAGGAAATTCTGAGCTACGTTCATAAGATTGAAAGATCAAGGAAAAGATAGAAGAAAAGTAGCAAAAAATGGAAGCAAAGAATAAGGTCTGATGAAGCAAAAGCTGGGTGTGATCACTTTTCCTGGCAAAAGTAATTGTTCTAAAGCCTAACATGGAAGGATGACCTGTGCATATCACTATTGCTAATGATAGTGATCGTTCCAAAGAGCTTTCAAGCATAGTAAGGTGTGTGTTATCACTTTTGTTCGCAAAAGTGATCATTCCAGAGAGAGCTCCAACATAGCAAAGACGCGCGTTATCACTTTTGTTCACTAAAGTGATCATTCCAGAGAAGCCTCTAGGAAAGCAAGCTACGCATTATCACTTTTGTTCACAAAAATGAGTGTTCCAAAGAGCCTTCCATCACTACAAGCTACGCGTGTCTCCTATTGTTTATGAAAGTAAACACGCGCAGACCACGAACCTCTGTGTTGTTACTTTTACAAAGAAGAATGATCGTTTCAGTCATGAAGATTATTAGAAATGCCTCTGCGTGACTACTATAGTGAAAAATAGTGACCACACCAGAAAGGCAGAAATTTTATAAATATGAATTAGCTCAGATTTGTTAGAATCTTTTATTCATTTTTACTTTCCATTTGTTTTCTGGTGTTGAGAGAGTTTAAGAGAGAGATTGGGGATGAACACCAAGCTTCAAATCTTGAGGAATCAGATTGAAGATTGGCTTGAAGATGCTTCTTCGTTCATCTTCTTCTTCTCTTTCTTTCTCTTTTCATTTTGTAATGGTTGCTTAAACTCTTTGTAGTTAGGGATTGCGGATCTGAAATGGAAGTGTTGAATTGATTTTGGATCTGAACTTTGAGTGTTGAATTGGATTGAGTAATTGATTCTGCTTTTCAAGTAGTTGTTGAATGGAAATTTGATTAACTAATTACAGAGGAACTTTAATCAATGAAAGTTGAACTTGTTTTTCAGATCTGAATCAATTACCAAGATTATTGATTTCTTAGGGATAAGACATCTTTATCTTGTAATCTTTTGGTTTCTAATGCTTAATGCAACATTTAATTGAACCAGATCTAAGGAATTAGAATGATTAAATTGAATGTTAGATTTATTGAGTTAAAGAATTAACCTTTGATTAATATATTGTGAAATTGATTGTCATTCCATCTAAGTACTTGCAAGTTCAAAACTTTATTAAATCAATACTGAAGTTTTGGTGAAACAAGTCCCTAACTATGTTTTCTACATCTGTTAAATACACATTTTCAAGATCTTTGTTCTATTCTATTTTCTAAGTGTAATATTTGTTGCTTTTACTTCCAAACTTCAACTGAATTTCGTTAGGCTCAACTAATTGTGGACTTGTGAAGTGATATTTGAGAATTCTATTTCCTGAGAACGATATTAGGGACTCAAACATAGTTCTAAAAATTTTATAACTTGCTACAATAACACTAGTACACTTGCTAGTCAAAATAACTTCTGTTGAGAAGGTGACAAGACGTCGTGGGCGTGTCTGGGATGTTCAATAATGGTGCAAGTAAGAAATTTGAGGTGGACTTGAATTGTTTGCCTCTTTCCCAATTGGATGTAATTTTGGGAATGGATTAGTTAGCTATTAACCATGTTTTGTTAAATTGCAAAGAGAAGACATTAATTTTTGGTGCGTCAATGACAAAAATTCCTAGGCTTCTGAGTCAAGGTGCGTAGCAGAACATGGTAAATGCTAAGGCCTTTATGGTCATGTTCTCGCTAGAGGCTGAAAGTGTAGTGGAACCAGAGTACATCCCAATGGTAAGGATCTTCTTGGAAGTCTTTCCCGAAGATGTTTATGAATTGCCACCTGAGAGGGAGATAGAGTTCGCTATTGACCTCATTGTGGGAGCAGCCTGATTTCTATGGCACTATATAGGATGTCACCGATGGAGTTGGCACAGATCAAGAAGCAAGTGGAAGACTTATTGCAAAAGTGATTTGTTAGACAAAGTGTGTCACGATAAGGAGCACCAATACTCTTGGTGAAGAAGAAAGATGGGAGCATGAGATTATGTGTGGATTACTAGCAGCTGAACAAGGTAACAATAATGAACAAGTATCCACATCCCAGAATCGACGACTTGATGGACTAGTTGAGAGGAACAACAGTATTTTTGAAGATTGACTTAAGATCGAGGTACTATTAGATCAGGGTGAAGGATGAAAATGTACCCAAGACGGCATTCAGGATGCGTTATAGTCACTATGAGTACTTGGTGATGCCGTTTAGAGTGACCAATGCGCCTGTTGTGTTCATGGACTACATGAATCGAATTTTCCATGAGTTTTTGGATAAGTTTGGATGGTGTTCATTGACAACATCCTGATTTATTTGAAGACTTAGCATGAGCATGTTGAGCAATTGGGAGTTGTTCTATAGGTTTTGAGGGAGAGGTAGTTTTATGCCAAGTTCTCTAAGTGCAAGTTCTGGTTGTCCCAGATCCAGTTTTTAGGGCATGTGGTGTCAAAAGATGGAATCACAGTAGACCTTGCGAAGGTGGAAGCGATGACTTGATGGCCGTGCCCAAAGAATGTGACGGATATCTGCAGTTTTCTAGGACTAGCGGGCTATTATAGGAAGTTCATTGAAGGATTTTCTAAGATAGCTTTGCCCCTAACGAAGCTGACCTACAAGGGAAAGGAGTTTAAATGGACCAAAAAGTGTAAAGCTAGTTTCCTAGAACTGAAGGTGAAGTTGACTTCAGCACCTGTGTTGGTTTTGCTTGACCTAGAGCAAAAGTTTGATGAGTATTGTGATGCGTCTGGGCATGGACTTGGGTGCGTTCTAATGCAAGACGGATGAGTGGTTGCCTATGTCTCGAGGCAGTTGCGTCCTCATGAAGTCAACTATCTGACACATAATTTGGAGTTAGCCGCGGTAGTATTTGCTCTTAAGGTATGAAGGCACTACCTTTATGGAGCGAGGTTTGAAGTGTTTAGTGATCACAAGAGCTTGAAGTATCTATTTGATCAAAGAGAGCTGAACATGCGGTAGAAAAGGTGGATGGAATTCCTCAAGAACTACGATTTCACATTGTCTTACCATCCTCGCAAGGCACATGTGGTGGCCGACACTTTGAGTAGCAAATCCTTGCACGTGGCGGCCATGATGGTGAAGTAAATGGAGTTGATTGAGGAGTTTCGAGACATGAATTTGGCTATGGAGGTAAGGCCAGGAAGCTTGAACCTCGGAGCGACGATGATCCATAATGACTTCTTGGTGTACGTCCGAGAAGCTCAGTAGGAAGATGTTTTCCTCCAAGATATGATAAGGTAGAAGGGTGAAGGGAAGAACTTGGAGTTCCACTGGGATGAGAACGGCGTAATAAAGTTTCAGAACTAAGTGTGTATTCCCCAAGTGGATGAGCTGAAGCAGATGGTACTTGAGGAGACACATAAGTGCAAAATGAGTTCTCACCCCAGTGCGACCAAGATGTATCAGAATCTCCGAAAGAGCTTTTGATGAAATGGGATGAAGAAGGATGTGGCTGAATATGTGACTAAAATGCCTAACTTGTCAGAAGGCAAAAGTAGAGCACCAATGTCCACCTAGGTTGTTGCAACCGTTAGAGATCCCTGAGTGGAAATGGGATAGCATTTCCATGGACTTTGTTTCTGGGTTGCCGAGGACCCAGAACAACCATGATGCCATTTGGGTGATAGTAGACTGGTTGTATCTGATGAGGGAGATGCCACATGGGAAACAGAGAGTAGAATGAGAGAGTTGTATCTGAAGTTGTTTGTTTAGTTTGGTTGAATTTTAGAGAAGAAATTCCCTAAAGGAGAGGAGAGTCGTAACGCTCCAGATTTTGTAACTATTGACAAGTTCATATTTTTATATATTTTATGACATATTTATACACTTAAAACTCTATTTTATATATATTTACACTAATTATGTTATTAATTATTGCAGTTTAGCTGGAAGTTTTTATCAGTGCATTATAGAGATATTCTGAATGAAAATTAGATATTTTTAGTCCTTGGTTGTGTTATGTGAAGCTGGGTTTGAATTTTGAATTTAAAATTTAAACATAGATATGAAAATTTGGAGCGATTCTGATTGTGGATAAAACTAATTTAAAAAGATAGAGTTCAACTAACTGGAAACTCAGGACATAGCCTATGTAAAGAGGCCTTATGCTCCACACTTGACATTTCCACTCCTCTACACACCTTCTTCCCTTTCTTAGTTATACCCAAACTCATCTTTGAGAGTCATTGGAGACCATTGGCAAGGACGACAAGCTTCCCCTTGGAGTCCAAGCAAGTGATTGAGCACCCTTTTGGAGAACGAGAACTTTCTTTATCTTCTACCTTCC